TAATTACAACTATGTCAGGACACTATTTTAATTAGAAAGCTTTTAGTAAACGATGGTTCGTGTTTTAAATCAAGTAGTTGAAGTCACTTATCATACTGTCAATTGAAACCACTAATTTAAGTCAGTTTATTCCATTCATGTATTCAATTGCTAAAATTATCTGAACACAAGTGCTTCCCAGATCTGAGAGTGTCACAATTTTGATAGCGGTGAAATATCAGCTCAGAAGTAGATGATCATAGTTGCTGAATCGGTGTTCAATAATCAAATTCAATCATAAATCCAAAATAGTAATTTTCTAAAAGACAGGCACTGAGATGGCACTTCTTCATCTTTACAATACAGAATCTTCATGTTTAAAGAATGAATTGGCAGGGCAGAAGGGAGAGAGAGAGAGAGGGAAGGAGAGAAAAAGAGAGAGAGAGAGAGAAAGAGAGGACCACCTTTAAAAGAATTGGTAAATTATTTTAATTCAAAAATGACCCAACCGAAAGCCTTACATTACAAAAGGAAAAACAAAATATATTATGAAATTGATAACATGGAGAGAGACAGAGAGAGAGAGAGAGAGAGAGAGAGAGAGAGAGAGAGAGAGAGAGCTGCGTGGAAGACACAACAGGAGACAAAATAGTACATTATCCTTCCCACAGTGACAGTTGTGACTTGACCTGATCAAACCAGTCTGAAATTCTCAAATTCTCTTGGTTCGCTGTAGCAACCTGACAAACATGTGAAGAGGAAGCCTCCATCTCAAGTCCTACAGGACTGAAACGAACAGAAGCTTGCTGGAGCAGAAAAAATGACCTATTTTCTTCAAAAGAACTTTCAAAGCTTCAGGCAGACCACCGGTTCCCTGATAAATAAGATGAGTACATTAGGAAGCAGCCTCAGGAATCTGATCTCCTTACAGTCTTTCTTCTTCCCCCTTTATTCTTAGCCGTTAACCAAAGCTTAGTATTACGTCTATACAACTGTTAAGCGTGGTTTTATAGTAAGCCACAGTTCACATCTTAACTAGAATCTGAAATTGGGGCTGGAAGCCTGTTTTGCATTAGTATTAATAAGGCCTTAATGGGGTGGGTGGGGGAGTTGGGAATTCTCTGGGAAGTGCGCGTTTTTGTGAGTGTCCTCTTATTTGCAAGCCACAATGTGTAGGGACTGAAGTTACTCCCGCATGGGTGTTGTATAAAGTATTGAATATTAACAAATATTTGGCTACTATCTTTTCATGCTGTCCTCAGAAGGACAAAGTTTTTCATCGCATGAGTAATGAATTAAGCAAAAAAAAAAAAGAGAGAGAGAGAGAACAAATTACAATCCAAACAGAAGCCTTTGGAACAAATACGGTATCTAATATTGTAAATAGATTAGAAATATGATAATTAAATAATCTAGAAAAACACACTCTGCTGTACATCTATAAACATAAATATTTACAAAAAAAACTCTAGCTATTTTCAAAAGAATGAGGTTTGTGGTTTCCTAATGATCATCAGCTTGTCCATTTCTTTGGTGTGCTTGCCAATCTCTGGGGTTTTTTTGTTTTAAAACAAATTCATTAAGAGTTGACAAACATACAAGAAGAGATAACAGGCCTAGTACAGATGCTCATATATTTTTTCCCATATTTTAAGCCCAAACATTTAACAGAAGATTCTCATAATTTTCTTTTTTTATAAATTATGATACACCTCTTCAAATTGTCAGTCTAATAAGTTGGATCAAATAAGTTAAAAGTCTACTTTTTCATAACCTTTCATCCAGTTGAGTTTTCAGAGGTATACATGTATGTGGTACATTCTGTCTTCTCAGCCTCAAATTAGCACAGTACGTATGCTGTGGAATTCCCTGAACATTAAAACTAAAGAGGGAGGGCAACTAACCAGTTATTTAATAACTCAAGTGCTTTAATTCTCTATACAACTGGGACCCAAAGTTCAACCTTCCCTCTTTGCTTTAACCTTTCCAACACAGCTTTGCAGACAGGAAGGCATGCAAGGGTGGCATTTAGGACTTTTAGAACGACAACTCAATATGCACTTCATAAAAATGAGCTAAGTATTAATAAAACATGAGGAGAAACCCAAAAATGAACCTCGAAACGAATAAATAAAAAAAGAGGAGTTACATATTCCATTAAATAGCTCTTTTTGTTATCAGCATGGCGTTTATACATTTTCCGAAAGTCACAGCAGCAAAGACAGAATTAAAAGTCATCTTATAATGGATCTCGGCATCCGTAGAGACAATTCAGATGTTCGAGAACGCAATAGATCAAGCACACCGAGTCAGACCTGCAAATCTGTTGTGCCAGTTCACAACTTCCTTCCTTCTGGATTGGACCTGGATTGAAAGTACCTAAAAATAGTAAGAAATCAACCATGGGAGGGCTTAAACGTTTCCCAGAAGACTGGAATGTAGCAATACTATTTGCCAATGTGAAGATGGGTATCTTATTGCCTATGGCATTGCATTTACATCTAGCACATCAAATGCATGCTTGACTTGGCTATGGCACCTTAAAAGGAAAAAAAATAAATTAATAGGCCGTTTCAAGCAATTGTTGCACTTTTCTTCTAAAAAACATGAACGTACTTAAGGGAGGGAAAGTGCTCTTCGCCTGCTACCTTATATACTGAGCCATCAACTTCTCGCTCGCTTCTGTAAAGCCAAGGCTAAATTAGGAGCAACAAATCCCTTGATTATTACTGTTCCTTAAAAATCCACTAAAAGCAAGAAGAGAAATCCTTACCTAAAGGGATACTATACTGCCCTTATGAACTACTGATTTTACCTGGCAAAACTGATTCATGGGGTGCTAGGTGTATGCCTGAAAACTTTAAAACACTCAAGCATGATAACCAGCAGTGTTCCTGCAACATAATTCAAGCTAAATCTGATTTAAAATCCGAACCCTCCAAGTTTTGAGATCAATGGATGTTGATAAGGGACCCTCAGAATCCCATTTCTGTGATGATCTCAACTCCCATAAAATAAGAGACCGCCTTTAAGATATTCACAGTAGCCGACATTTAGAACTAAGCTGCAATCAAGGATTAGTTTCAAGCTACCAAGAAATTGTCTTTAGCAATTATTAAGGAATTACTTTCCTAGCAGGGAGAATACGGTCTTCAGAAAGGGCAAAGCTGTGATGTTAGCTGTGTATTGAATATGATCGACCACCTGAGGTTCAACATACCTATGAAAAGTGAGTTATAAGCACAGAATTCACATGCTGCCTATGAACTCAGCTTTACGGACCTTCCTGTGGATCTGTGCATGTATAATTCACATTTGCAGGTATTTTGAATTGTGAATGGTTTTCACATGGCCTGAATATGTTAAGGAGAAGTTTACAAAAGCCTAAGGCTCTGTTTAGCGTCAAACCAGCTGGAAGCATGTCAGGTCAGAGAAAAAAATTATGGACCCAGTTTTTTAAAAAAATAATTAAAAAAACAGATCGCTAGCTTGGATTTTGTTCTAAGAAAACCACAAATTAGCCTGTTGCATGAAAAAGAAATGACAGCTGAGATGTGGGCTACGGTATTTGAAATTGGATATCGTTGAAATGAAGGTGGTGATAACAAACAAACAAACAACAACAAAAAACCCCTATAAAGCAGCAATTCCAACAGTAACAAACATCACATTTGAGGTCAGGATAGGAATGTATGAAAGTCACATGTGTGATACAGGAAATAAAAATAAGACAGATAGATATATTGCACTCCAGGCACTATATGGAAACAGGATATGTCGGCTTTAAAATTAAATTTGTTTTCAGTTAATGCTTTTATGATGCAAAGAGACCAGAAAGGTATCCGAGCAGTGTAAAACCTAATTAAAAAGAGCAGTCCGTTCATACTGGCATCAAAGGAACGTTTGGGACATCTAAAGTACAATAATTATGCAAAAGATCTAAAGTTGAATTTTTTAAAAAAAAGAATGAAGGGGGCAATGTTTTCAGAGAGCCGTCATGTCTATAATAAACCTTGAACCCTCTACTTACACGCCTGAGCCATGATTTTGAAAATAATAATAATAATAATAATAATAAAAATAAATAATCCCCCTGTGGGCAGAAAATTACATCCCTGCGTGGAATCCAATGTCAATTGTCAGTACTAATGAAGTGTAAAATAGGTGCTGTATTGGCCTTTTGTGTGGGTGTGGGTGGATGTGTGAATAGTGCTAGGGGGCTTAATCCACCAATCAGTGTTGCTACAGAAGGATCTGCCTATAGTCGTGATGGAGAACCTATGGCACATGTGAACGAGGTGGCACACAGAGCCATCTCTCTGGGAACTTGAGCCATCGCCCTTTGCTCTTCCACATTCTGGCGCACCAGCCAGCTGGTCTTCATGTCTGTGTGAGCGCCAGAAACTGGAAGAGCAGCTGTCTGGTGCACATGCATGCACTGGGAAGATGATCTTCCAGTTTCCGGCGCACCATGAGCACCAGCCACCTGGTCTTCCAGGCGTGCATAAAGACCAGCCTGTGTATGTGTATGAAACCGGAAAATCATCTTCCCGATGCACACATGTGCGCCGGAAACCGGAAAATCATCTTCCCAATGCACACATGTACACTGGGCGGCTGCTCCTCTGGTTTCCAGCACACATATGCATGAAGACCAGCTGGCCGGTACGCCGGAATCTGGAAGAGCAAAGGGCGCACACATGCTCCTCTGTTTTGGCACTCAGTGCCGAAAAGGTTCACTAATACTGGCCTATAGGATTCTCCACCAATAAGAGAAATGCAATCGCAATAGCTGGTAGAGAGCGTTATTAAGCCCGACCCTTATTTGGTTTAGAATGCATTCAGCACTTCGCAAATATTACACATGCTGTACAGGGGAAGACTTCCTTTCGAACAAGCAATGTTCCTTCTTCATTCTTAAAAGCAATGCTTTAAAAAACGCCCCCCCCCCCGCAAAATAAAACCCAATCCCCACTAACCCCTCCACTCCCCCCCCTCATTTGTAACGTTGTATAGAAAGCTTGAATCTTGTAAACTTGGACCAAGAATTCAAAAAAAAATTTAAGACCTCCTAGCATTTTGGTATAAAACAGGGCCCCCTCCACCTGCCCGCCCGCCTGCCCCCCAAAAGGAATTGTATACCTGCCTTCTGACTTCTCAGGGGAAAAAAAACACACACAAAAAAATCAGAAATTGCATAGGATATACGTTGTGCAAGGTGACCAGCCTTTGAAAGGTATCTGGAATAAAAACTAATCCTGCTTATTTGTCCAGCTCTTGCAAATTGTCAGATGTCATCAAATTTGTGTTTTAAGTAGTCTTTCATGACCTTGGCAATCGGTAGCTCGTCAAGGAGTCTGAGGTTTTGAAGGCCTATACACTGGCGGATTTTAATTCGACAGAGATCTTGCAAGTTCCGAGGCTGCCCTAAAAAAAAAAAGAGAGACAAAAGCATTAATAAGTCATTACCAGGCCGTGTTTTTTTTTTTTTTTTAAAGAGAGTAATTGGGGGGAAAAACAGCCTGTCAGCCCTGGAGGCCATTTTTTTCTTTGGATCTTCAGGGCTGCCATCCTTAGTGCTGGGCGAAACTGGGAGGGGGGTGGGAATTGCATGGAGTTGCAGGATTATCTAGCCACAACGTCATTCTTTTCTCTGACAGTCAAGGACATCCAGCCTGCATCTTGAGCGGCGCGACTGGGAGTCATCTCCGGTTGGGATGGCACATTGATTGGACCATGTGATGGACATGTGGGTGCAGGGGGGAAGGGACTTGGGCTTTCTTTTGGGTGCGGAAAACCTGGAAGCTTTCAGATTCGGGTTTTCCCAGATGTGCCAATATGATATCTCTAATAAAATGGAACTTTTGAGGAACTTCTAGCCTCAGAGTCTTCTTTGGTTGGGAGTTGTTACTTGGAACCCTGACACAGGCAAGAAGAAGCCAAACTGTAGAACAGAGATCTTCAAACTCGGCAACTTTAAGACTTGTGGACTTCAACTCCCAGAATTCTCCAGCCAGCTGGAGAATTCTGGGAGTTGAAGTCCACAAATCTTAAAGTTGTCAAGTTTGGGGACCCCTGCAGTAGAACAGTACAACTGTCCCAAAACTATAAAGCAGAACACACAAGGTTTTTCTCAGTCCAAAGTAGGAAATATTTCACTTTTTAGTTAAACTGAGATGGTCCATTAAGCAGTAAACGCGAATGAGTTCAATCCTAGTGCTACCACCTAAGAATTATTTGTGGGGGATACCAGAGAATGAGCCTGAGAGGTCCTTCAAAAAAAAAAAAAGTTAGATCCTGTACAACAAAGGTGTATTATACACCAAAATGGCACACAAAGCAAACTTGCACTAACTGCAAAACAAAGATGAAAGACGTCAAAATAAATTTCCCCTGGGTCAATCTCCATTATAAATACATGATTTTACCCAAAGTATATGTGACACACACACTTTACATAAGCAAAACCTGAAGACTGCCAATCCCAGATAACAGTTATATAAATGTGCAATACGGAGAGACAAATGTACACTGGCTTTAATAACACACCCAAACAAAATGTTAGAACTTAAGCATGTATTGCTTTATGTAGCTTCCGTGCCTGTTTTTGGAACCCAAAAGCACAGAAGAAAATGGGAGGGTGGAGAGGAAGGGCATCTACGCTTAACACTAAATTCCTGAAGGGTGATTATTAAATGTCCTGACATTTCCTCCTGATAATCTGAACAGCATTTCCTGGGAATGTGCTAATAATGGACGTTTCCAATGTTAAGCACCAGTTGCCACATCTATTGCCCCTTGGTGTCTAGAGCACTTACTCATTCTTGGATGCATCTGAATGGGCGAGTGGGAAGGATTATAGACCACACCAGCACATTTTCTTATAGCAAATGTAAAATGCTATTAGCAATCTGGTAAAGGCAGAGAAAATAAAGAAAGCAGAGAATTAAGCGCTGCCTAATGATGAAGAGGTAATGCGGAGAGCTTCGGCTAAATCTGGAAAGAACCGAGTTGGATTAAAGTAGATTAGGTAAAACAATTAAAAGGCTTCCAAAGCTGACACCTTCCATCCAGAAATACAATGGTGTCAGAGTCATAGAACTCCTGGGCTGACTTGCTCCCAAACACATTTCTGAAACCGACGTTGAAGGAATGCTTTCATTAGTAAACTTTATCTCCCCCCCCCCCATATTTTTTTAAAAAAAGAAAAGCATTGCCGGTGCTTATCTACCTCTATTTGCGTACAATAGGAAAGGCCATTCGAGCTACATTAAGCCAGCCCTTCTCTCAACAAAGGCAATTTTATGTACTTATAGCTACTCTGTGCAAAGGGAGCCTAGCAATCTTTTTTTCAAAGAGCTAAAATGTGGGAGGTATTTGACAGGGTCCCTGTGGAGGATGGATAGGTGAGCTTTCAACTTTTGGGGGGGTGGGTGGGTGAGATGGACAGAAGAGGAACACAGCAAGCTGTAGAGATCCGTTTTCATAAGTGGGCCTGTTGAAGAACTGCATAAAGTCGGAAACTGCGGCAGCAGCATAAGCATTAACATGAAAACTGCAGCTGCTTAGTGCCATTCTCCAGAGAATGCCAGAACAGGGCATTGGAGTTCAGAAATTTAATCAGTATTAATTGTCAGCCATTTAAAAAGAAAGGAATTTTAAAAGCAATTTATTAGAATTTATTAGGCAGCTAATAGCGAAGACTGTTTTCACAACTAGTAAGAAATTTACTGACACAGAATAATTTTTTATGTATTCATTGAACTGAATTATCTGCCACCAAAATCCGGATGGATATTCATATTCTTACATAAGGCTGAAAAACTAATGTGATATTGAGACTAAAGCAATAGAGCATTTTTAAAAAGTGTTACAATTTTTGCGATAGTGATCTTTCTTGAATATACTTCAAATGTGAAATTCACAACATATATAAAATGTGAACTTATAAAGGGATTATAACCAGTAGTGGGATTCAGCCAGTTCACACCACTTCGAGAGAACCGGTTGTTAACTTTCTGAGCAGTTTGGCAAACTGGTTGTTGGAAGAAATCATTACAGCAGAGAACCGGTTGTTAAATTACTTGAATCCCACTACCGTTTATAACTATAAAAATAACATAAATGCTAATTGAAGGTAGAATGGAAGGTAAAGTTTAGACAGTGCAGTTTAAATTATTTTATTGATTTCAATGTCATTGCTATATGCAATGAAAATTTAGACTTGTTTGATTTGTTATTGTCAGTTATTAATTATTAATATTTGCAATAGGGGTCCAAGTAAAACCAGATTAAGCATAATCATAGAAAAATGAGATTTGGAAGGCAGAGTTCCATAAAAGACAGGTGAAATTATTAGGCAGTTTAAACGATAAGAAAATGACACATAGTGATATTAATAAAATGTAAAAAATGAGAAAAAAATAAATTTTAGAGAAGAAAGAAAATTAAAACTGAATGATCGTTTTAAAAGTTAGCCTAGAATAATAATAAAAAATTAACCTAGAGTTGGGAGAAATGATAAGAGTAAAGATGAAATACAGATCGGAAGAGGCTGAATATTCAAAATTCTGACATAGGATAAAACTTATAGGATTTTCAACCTACAGCACACAATTAGATGATAGACAAGGATCAAAATGATAAAATATATTATATCCATGAGGGCTACACTGGTTTAAATTATTAGATGTGCTGAAAGTGAAAGTAGCAATTTTAAGTCTTAATTATCATCAGAAAAAACAAGGTACCAGAAGTATAATAAAAGCAAATATTAACATGTTTGTATTTCACTTCATTACTGAAAAAAAAACAACCCACCTGGCTTTCTGACTATTTGTATTTATTTAGGCTATTATAAATGAGCTGCAGGATTCTATTGGTTAGTACATTTCAAATAGCATTAGCCAGTATGCAAAGTAATTATTTGATTTTGTGAAGGAACTAATGAATTCATTTATTATTTTTAATTTTACAAATCTAGAGTTTTGATATCTGTATGCTTTCTTGACATTAAAGATTTAAAATATGGAAATATGAAATGCCCAACTGGTATTGTAATACATACTTATAAGCAGTTAAATAATTGTGATAAACCTTTATTAATGGATGATAAAAAGAACTGATAAGATCTGATAAAAAAATTATAATAAATTGCTCAAAAATCCATTTTGTTGCTCTCTATTACTTCAAGAAAAAGAAACAAACTTAGTAGAAAGGTACATTAAAATTCTGGAAGGCTACATATGGATATTCAGCACAAATGTATAAATGTTATAAAATGTGATTATACTAAAAAAAATATCTTAAGCAATCGGCAAACATAATATACAGTACCCTAAATCTGCAAGAATTTCTATAAATTGTTATTTAACTTTAGATCAAGCACGGAACCAGATATCTTTAGTTTTCTTTGCTATTTGTGTTTTCATGAGACCAGCAATAACAGGGTTTATATTATAGTTTATACTATACTATATAGAACATTACTAAAAATGTTGCTTAAAACAAAGTTGACAGTAGTACTATATAACAGAAAAAAAATTTTTTGACTGATTGACAAAAGGTTGAAATACTGTGCAAACGTTTTTGAACATAAATATGTAACTCTTCCAAATCCGGATGGGTAAGAGTCAAGATTTAAAAAAAAATTAACAACAGAACAAAACTAAATTAAATCAGAGGCAAAGTAGCAAACATAAATTGCAGAACTAAGACATGAGCAATACTATCACTCTTAAATTTCCTTTATGCCTACACTACCAAAAAGAAGCAGTTACGGAGAAATTAAATACCCTTTGGTTTGTTTATTTGTTTCTATTAATTATTCTCTGCTTGGAATTATCTCCATTCTTAGATTTGTAGCAAATAAAATCAGTTCCCTAGTTGACTCTATAAAGTATGAAGCATACCCGATTTGCAGAAACATTTTAACAGAAGCCTACATGAACAAGACATATAAGGGAGCTATGCTCACCAAGGTACTTATTTCAGGTAGCAATTGCTATGCCAACTGGTCCATAATTGGGAAGGCTCAGATTCCTTACTTAACCTCAAAGCTAAGTCATTTTCTCCTAAATCAGTGTCTTTTACAGTACTTCTTAAGGTTTAATAAGGATGAAAGGAACAGGAGACAGGGTTATGTGCCTACCTCCAACTTTCTCAGACAAAGTGATATTAAAAATGTAATACTAAGATATAATGGATTGGATTAGTATTTCTAGAACGTGCGTTGGACAATTTAAATTCACAACTTCAGCAATGCTGGAAAGTCCATGGATATGGACTGATCTGCATATATTTAAACCAAAATACAAACATCTAAATGTATGTTTTAGGCTAAAATTCAGGTACTAGTAAAATAAAGCCTTGCACCATTCCTTAATTCCCTTCAAAAATTTTAAATGGTGTAAATGCATCCACAGATC